TGTCATTAGTATGTTCCCATAGTTATACATATGACTGGGCCCTAAAAACATCCAGTTTGCAAACAATAGGAATATACCCTTGTAAGTGACCACTATCATTTTCTTTTTCTTTCCCTCCTTTGTGGGCAATTCTTTCACCCTAATTTACAGAATATAACCTTGAACCTTGTGAAGATCCTGGAGTTCCTCAATATGGTAACCGAATTGGGTTCAACTTTGGTGTTGGCGATACTCTGACCTTCTCATGTTCATCGGGTTATCGACTGGAGGGAACATCAGAGATCATCTGTCTTGGTGGTGGCCGACGAGTGTGGAGTGCACCTCTGCCAAGGTGTGTGGGTACGTGGTCAGCTGCTTTCATTTGCTTGTATGTGTAGTCACTGTCCATGAAGTTGCATGGTTATACACCCTTCGTTTTTTATAATCTGTTGAATTTCTTCATTTATTTCATATTAATTATTTCTATTTTTTTTTAACTTGGCAATCTGGTGTACCTCAGTTAACTTCTGTAAAGCTACATTCAAGCAACCATGCTTCTAAATTTGTTTTCAGATGATGGGGATAAAAAATGAATAAGATAGATGGATAAAAAGATAGAAATAGAATCATATTTTGAGAGCTCACAGAAAATGGAATTCTTGTATTCTATTGATAATATATTCTAACTGAAGTTTTGACAAAATTTTATAACTTAGAATTAACACGAATAAAAGATGATTACAAGGGAAAATATGTCAAATGAAGAATAGGTAATTAATTTAAGGGCTATGAAGGAATGTATTGGCTCAATATATAATAGGTAAATTAAGGTGTTTATTAATTTCATGTTGTGAAATAAATAATAGCAATAATTAAAGTATTGGAAGTGTGGAGCCACCACCTCAAACTTTGGAAATAAATGTTTTGACTGAAAAAAGGGGGAAAAATTTGGTAGAAAAAATGAAAGACTTTTTCATTTCATAGGGATATAAGTCATTCCCTATTTAAATTAGAAAATATGGAGATGAGAAATTCTTTAGGCCAGAAGCTGTCTGGTGGTTATCAGTACTTATTCTTATGATAGAACAGTATGCATATGGTCCTTTTATTATTTCAGAAAGATATTGAAAATTCTCATAGGCATTTAATTTGAATTAATTGTAAATTTAATTGTGGATCAAAAATCTAAGTTATAATATGCTACAAAATC